AGAGAGAGAGAATGTGTATAGGTGTGTATAGGTATGTATAGGTGTGTATATGTGAGTATATAAGAGAAAGAGAATGTGTATAGGTGTTTATATGTGAGTATATGATAGAAAGAGAGATAGAGAATATGTATAGGTGTATATGTGTGAGTATATGAGAGAGAGAGAGAGAAAGGAGTCATCGGTAGAGCGAGTAATCAGGTCGACTGTCATTAGAGACGACGAACACAGGTATGATCATCCTATAATCCTTATTCTCAGACAATATCCTGTCCTATGCTTCTAATCGAACTATCCGATAAGATCAAAAACTTTATCCAACGTTACTGTATAATCTTAAACTATTAGGTTGATGGGGGTATGAAATGTTGGATCTTAAAGTGAATATATATATAAAATTTTGTGTATCATTTTATCAAAATCTGTTTATTTAATCAAAATAAATTCTATTCGCTTAAATATTGTTTTCTCAAAGAGATTATAATACACAGATGTTTGTCTTAAAGAAATTCTGATGTTTAGAATCAATAAACTCTTATATGAACTTTTTCAGACTGTTTTTATTTAGCAGGTAAAAACTGTTGTAAATTTGATCAAAATAAAATTCTAGTTCTTTATAATGTCCAATTTATCTGCTAAACAAATTTAATTATAATTTTATTTTTCGACGAGAGAAGTAACTAATTGGACTGTTGTACATGTATAAAAAAAAATAAAAGTTTGTACAAAATCGAACACCTAATGAGGTATATTGATCCACTTTTTAATTCTCTCAATGTTTCATATTTAAGATTTAATTTATCTTGTAAAGTATAAATGAGTATTTGTTTTAATAAATGTGTCACAGGGAAATTGGGAATTGGGAGTTTGTAGTTTGAAAGTTAACAAAATAAGTTTGTAGTTCTAGGGTTAACCCTATCAAATTTTGTAAAGAAATAAATGTGGGTCAGTCAGTCAGTACATTTTAGTTTAATCAAAACACGCCTTATATTATAGTTTAAGATTATACAATAACGTTGGATAAAGTTTTTGATCTTATTGGTCTAAGAATTAAAGGTTTCGTCCTTTCATCAGGATTTCTTCAACAATTCAATCGTTAAAATTCAGAATCTCTTATATATTTATTTATTTTTTTCAATATTATATTTTATATTATTTTATATATTTATTATATATTAAATATATTTACTATATTTATTATATTATATATCTTTTGTTTAATTATATTGGGTATTTGTTTAAATAACATTTTAATATTCACTTTGGCTTTAACTTTTCCATACGAATGTATTTACCATAAAATATAATACATATATACACATAAAATATAAATACAAAATATTATTTCTCTATGACCATTGATACACCAATCATATTATCAAAAATAAAATACAAAATTGCATCTGACCGATGCTTCATGGTGCATCGATGCAATCCATAGAAAATAAAAACGTATTATGCAAGATTCGATTTCGTTCTATATTATTTTTATCTAATTATATTAAAAAAACAAAACAAAATAACAATAACACACACACACATACACTCCCACTTCTCAGAATTTGAACCCCTTGTGCATATAAAATTGAATTTAATTAATCACTTAAGTCGATGAACAGGTAAGAGTAGCAAACGTGGTAGAAAATTGCATCTCCCTCTCTTTAAACAGAGAGAACGGATGGGAAAGGGGATAGGGGAGTAAGAAGGGTAGGTTATTAATCCTCATACACTTATCTATAATCGGACGCATACTACATACACCTGTATAGGTCGTCGGGTTGCATTTTAGAAGCTTCTTCTTCTTCTTCTTCTCCTTCTTCTCTTCTCAATATAATTAATGTTTGATATTAATTAAGAAAATGTTTAATGCGTTCGTTAGTTGGTTGTATAAATTTTCAATTAGATTCACGTGGAATAGTCGTTCCATGGCGATTAGTATAAGAGTTGCACAGTACTCTTACTGTAAACGTGAAAACGTAAGGTACAGAAATGATGAAACTTGTGGATAAAGTTATTTTTCTCTGTCGTACTCTTTCCATGCCACAAATTTTCCTCTCCTCTCCTCTCCTCTACTTCTACTTCTACTTCTTTTTCTTCTTCTTATCGAGATTTACCTACTACGATAATCTTCTTTACCTATTTTCGTTTTTCTACTGGATACTGTGTTCTTTACTTTACCCTAACTTTAAACGAGTACGGTTCTGCATAAATAAAAAAAAAAATAACCCTTAGAAAGATCGATTAAAAGTCGAACTCGATTAACTTTTTCTTCATCTTCTCGTTTTTTTTTCTTTTCTATTTATTTATTTACTTATTTATTTATTTAGTTAATTAGTTTTTCTTTTTTTCAATCCAGACGTTTCTTTGTATCAATGAACGTATAATTAAGTAAAAAAAAAGAAAAGAAGTAATAAGTCAAAAAATAAAATGTTTGTCGAAATTACAGTCCTGTGCAGTGGAGGATTAAATGATAAAAAATCTCCAGATCTTCAAATTTTCTTTCATTAGGGTTTCAGAACAATTACATTTTGTTTGTTTGTTTAATTAAATTTCTAAGAATGAGAATATTTTTTTTCCTTTTCTTTTTTGTTTTCTAACTTGAGTGTTTAAAAATTCTGAAATTTTTACGATTTAAGGCCCTTCACTTGACTTAATCTGTCATTGGTTTTACAACAGGGTCTTTCATGATTCACATATTTGCAAAATCCCACCCCCATCCCCTTTTCACCTAACTGCTATTAACCCTTTGAGTGGTGAATACTTTTAACTGAATTGTTTTCTACGAATGAAATAATTTATTATTATTAATGTGACCACAGATATGTTAATATTAATAAATTATATTTAATAATTACAATTTTTCTTTCTCACACTATTATTTTACATTAACATTGATAAACACGAGTATCAACTTTTACCAAACGCATATATGCGTCCATACCACACAAAGGGTTAAACAAATCATTAATCATCAAAATAATATTGGAATTCAAGGGTTAAATGAAAAGATCTAGGATAAAAAAGAAAAAAAAAAGGAAAAATAAGAACGTAGGGGAAAACACGTAGTAGATGTTGAAGAAGAAAAAGAAGGGGGTGAAAAGTTTAGTTAAAAGTTTTTCGAGCTTGTTATGATAAATGCAGTGACACGTATTTCCACTGTGCTATACAAAGTTACAATTAGATGCTTCATTGAATATGTAAATTTGTGAGATTACAAGTTAAGCGAGTAAGCAACGCAAGTCCCTTCAGGGAAACATGGTTAAGAAACAAAATCAAGTAAAGGAGAGAGAAGTAAGGAAAAAAAAAAAAAATAAAAAAAGATGAAAAAGGGAGGAAGAGTATAAGGAAGAAGATGCGAGTAAAATATTGATCAATCATGATCCATCTACCTTTGAAGTCTCAGTTAAGTGTATTAACTTTTCAATTAGATCGCTTTCTCTTTGTATATGTGTGTAACTAATATTAATGTTAATGATATATTCAATAATTTCACACACAAAAAAAAAAAGAAACAAATAATATTTTTATTAATAAAAATAATTTAATATTGGGATAGGGTGACTTGTAAAAATAATGTAATGGTAATTTATTTTGAGAATAAATATAATACGTTCCTCTCTTTTAATACTATTTTTTTTTTTTTGTTATAAATAATATTTAGAATTGGAATATTTTTATTATAAAAAGAAAAAAAAAGAAAAAGAAAAATATATAACTATATAATTTTGATGAGAAAATTTATCGAGGAAAAAGTTTTCGGATGAAAAAGTTTAGTCGGGAATATCGATTACGTAGTTTTTTTTTTTTTCGGTCCCCTATCTCGGGTAGCATTTATTTCCTTGTAATACTGAAAAATTAGTCTCCGAGAGTTTGACCCGAAATCTCGAAAGCGTAAAACGCGTGAAAGTATCGTGAAAGAATTTGACAAAGTAGAAAATCGATGCGCTCAAAAACGTTCGGGCGCATCCAACCGATGTAAACTTCAAGTTTGCCAAACTTTCTCTTGTATCTTCTTATTCCTCTTCTTATTCTTCTTCTTATTCTTATTCTTATTCTACCACTTATTTCTTTTCCTTTTCCTTTTTCTATATTTCTCTCTAAGATCTTTTTCTTCTTTTTTCTCCACCCCTGTAAAAGAAAATTTTCCAAGAATTTTATTCGAGAAACCTTTTTTTTTTTTTATCATCGATCGATTCAAACACGCGCAGGGGGATGACGAGGGTTAAGAGAAGGGGGTGGGGGTGGGGGGGTGTTCGCTCGTTCATTTCTACACGCTAAGAGTTAAAATAAAAGAAATTTGAGCCCCCTTTTCTCTTGTTCTCTTTTTCTCACAAACGCGTTCCAAAGCATTGCAACTTTTTCAATCACGTTTGGTGCATTCTCGTTTAAAAACAAAAAAGACAACATAAAAGAAAAGATAAATAAATAAAAGTATTCTTTCTATTCGTTTTTTTATAGGCCACGCGTTAGTTACGTATTTTTCGAACAAAATTAAATCGTTTGTTTGTTTGTTTGTTTCTTTTTATTCGTGCATTTATCCTGTCGAACTAGGAAATTTTTTCCCTATGTTCTTCCCCCTAGTTTTATTTTTTATTCTTTTATTTAATTTAAAACGAGAATTTTTTTGGGAGGGGCCATTAAGTATTTCTTAGAAATGCAAAAACTAATTGCACGTTTAACAATTTTTATATGTGTATGTGTGTTTAGTTTTTATATTTAATATAATATTTAACTATTAATCTCATGAGATTTAAAAAATATAATGATATAATATAAATTCATATTTAAAAAAGTGTAAATTTCGCGCAATTACTACGTAAGTCATAAAACCGGAACCGGATACGTTGCAATATGCACAACGTAGTGCAGTCGCGCGAATTTCACACCTTAACCTTGATCTTATGTGATATCATTAAAAGATTGCAATTAATTAAAAAAGTGTGTGATAGTATATTTAATAATATTATAAGAAGAAATATTATTTATTTCATTATTCTTAATATATTGTTCATTTTATTTAATCTTAATAATATTATATAGTAGTGCTATATTAATAAATGAAGTGTCAGTGACGTTTAAGAGGTTATGTTTACAAATGTTCTTGTGTGATTTAATATACAGTGTATTTTAAATTCTTTATTATGGAAATTCTTGAACTAAAGGATGTAAAAGCTGTTCCAGATATTATTCATACTTATCCACATAAAATAAAAACTGAGGTAATACCATTGGTTATTGATAATGGTAAGAGAAATAATTTTACATTTAATGTTGTATAAGATTTAATATTTTTTATTTTGAAAGAGTAATTATTAATATATATATATTTTATTTCAGGTTCATACAATTGTAGGGTTGGTTGGGCTACTGAAAAGGAACCGCAGTTAATATTTAAGAATCTCATAGCGAAACCTAGAAAAGAACGTGGCAAGAAAGACGGAGAACCTCAAGTAGGAAATGACATAGTAAACATAGAAGCTGTAAGATTTCAATTGAAAACTCAATTCGACAGAAATGTTGTTACTCACTTCGAGGCTCAGGAACAAATCTTTGATTACACCTTTACGCATATGGGAATTGATACGGAAGCTTCTGTTAATCATCCAATTATTTTAACGGAAGCTTTTTTGAATCCCAATTATTCAAGAAATTGTAAGTTGTGTATTAATTTTCAATGATTAATACTTTTTGTTATAAAAAAAGATTTTATTAAGTATGCGCATATGTTTCAGTAATGGCTGAACTTCTATTCGAATGTTACAATATACCATCAATAGCTTACGGTGTTGATTGTTTACTTTCATATCAACATAATAATTGTCAATCAGATGGTTTAATCGTTAGCATTGGATACCATACAACACATATAATACCGATATTAGATGGCAAAGCAGATCCGGTGAATGCTAGAAGAATTAATATTGGTGGTTATCATATTACATCTTATATGCACAGATTACTTCAACTTAAATATCCTGTACACGTTAATGCGATAACTCTTAGCCGTGCTGAAGTAAATATCATTTCTTTTCCTATATTCTCTATTGTATATTAAATTAATTAAATGTTTTTAATTTTGTGTAGGAATTGATACACGAACATTCCATGATTGCATTGAATTATCAAGAAGTTGTTTCCAAATGGGCTGATCCAGATTATTACGATGCCAACGTGTTAAGAGTTCAATTACCTTACATTGCACCTGCGAGTACTCCTGGTTTAACCATAGAACAACAGAAAGAAAGGAAAAGGGAATTAGCTAGGAGATTGATGGAAATCAATGCAAGAAAGAGAGAAGAAAGGGTAAAAGAAATTATTATTACTATTATTATATTCTGTGTAATTGAGAATGTAATATCAATTTATAACATTCGACCAAATAGTTGGCTGAAGATGAGGAACAATTGAATCAATTATTAGCAATACAAGATCTTTTGGAAGAAGGTGAAACGGATGAGTTCGATCAAGCATTGAAAACTTATTCTCTGGCAAACGAAGCGGATCTAATTAAAATGATTAATAATTTACAAGCTAAGGTAGAAAGAACAAGACAAAAGATTGTTGCTGCCAATTCGCAAGAAGAGAACATCGTTATGGAGGATCAAAAACCAAAAATAAAATCAAGTCTTCAACCGAAGGATCAGCAAGATTTCGAAGAATGGATTGCTGGTGTTAGAAAGAGAAGGTAAATATATTTAAAATTAATTAGAAATATAAGTATGGGTAAATATTAATAAATAATATTGTATATTCTAGACAAGAAATATTAGACAAACGTATGGCGAAGAGACAACGTAGACAAGACATGGCCAAACGTAGAACAGCAGCAGCACAGGAAAGAATGCGTATAATTAGTCAATTAGCAAGGAAAGACAAACGTGATGATGATTTTGGTATGAGAGATGAAGACTGGGATGTATATAAAGTTATTAATAGAGTTAGTGAAATCTCATTATTATATATATATACAGTATATAAGAGAAATGAGTTAGTTCTAATAATAGAATACATTTTGTATTACAGGAAGGCGGTGACTCAGATTCAGAATTAGAACAAGAAAAATTATTAGAACTCGAGGACGTTCTTCGTCATCACGATCCAGAATTCGATGGTGCCGGTTCTAGCGTTCCCTTGATTCCTGGTGAAACCCATCAATTACATGTTGGAGTGGAACGATTGAGAGCAGTCGAATTACTTTTTCAGCCTTCGATGATAGGTTCCATCGAAGCTGGCATAGCGGAGACAATTGAATTTGTTTTAAAACTTTATTCCCCTATACAACAAAAACGATTGGTAAGCAACGTTTTTCTCACCGGTGGACCAACAGCATTTCCAGGATTGCTCGAAAGACTCAAACGTGAACTCAAAGAAATAAGACCATTTGGTTCGAGCTTTCAAATAAACGTAGCAAAAAATACCAGTTTAGATTCTTGGTACGGTGCAAGAGATTTTGGTTTGAGTGGTAATCTACCTGAATATCTTGTAACTCGTAAAGAATATGAAGAAAAAGGTGGTGAATATTTGAAGGAACATACTGCGAGTAACATGTATACACGGTCACCTGATCCCTTACCTATATTACAAGTTCCTGTAACATGCGAACAAGTAATTGTTGAAGATGCTATAATCGATGTTGAGATTGAATAAAGAAAATGAAATTATAAAAGTCTGGCGTGTGATTCGATTTAGGGAGAAAGTATAAGAGGTAGATTTTTTGTTAATGATTACTACTTTATTACACAAGTGTTTTTGTTCGTTCATTTTATTACGAACAAACTACATTGTAGTCTGTTTATACTAATCATAATATACATTTCTTTTACATCGCACCTTTTTTTTTTTCTTTTTCTGTTTTTTTTTTTTTTTTTTTTTTTTTTAGCAGTCAGAGACAATTATTTTTTGGGTAGATTATTTTTTTATTCTTTTCTTATATCTCTCTCTGAGAACAGTCGATATCTGTGCAATTAGATACTTTTGGATGGCCTAAAAAATGTGAAAATGATCCCTCACCTTAGCAATTGAATAATTGATTACAGCGACCTCATTCACAGTACACTTCAATTGAGTTAATGACTTGGCTTACGCTAAAATCACAATATCACATAACAACATATTGAAAATATCATTAACTCCATTGGAAATTTAATCGCTAATATTTAATGACCCTGCATATCTCATTGCGAGGAAAAAAAAAGAAAAGAAAGGAACGTTCTCAATGAAAGCAAATCTAAATCATTAATTTTAATATCAACGAGAAAACGCTTGATTACTTAACATATGAGAAATAATTTAATTTCATTGCGATTATAGGATTTTTACGCGTTGTTATTTGTTTCTTTTCTTTTTTCTTTTTAATCTCTCTCTTTCTCTCTATACAATTTTTGTTTATTTCACATTTCGTATTTTAATATATAATACACGACTAACATTTCTTAATATACTATTTTTATCGAGGAACAAATCACAAAGGTGTTTTTCTACACGCTTTTTATTAAAGGACAAAGTTTGCAGACATTTCCTGAGGAATTTTCCAATATAATCAGATCAATTAACATATCTGCATTATTTATGATATCGATCAGATACATTTGACCAAATTTCCGATGGTCACAAAGCTACCAACTATATTATAATTATAATTATAATAATATATAATAATAATAATAATAATAAAATGAATATATTCTTTTTTTCTTTTTTGTGTGTTCGCTAAACAAAAAAGAAAAGGAAACATGTGTCGAACTTAGTAAAACGAAATCCTTAATTTTAAGTATAATATCCATCGTGTTAACTATCACAGATTGAGGTCACCGCAGATCAATAGCATTTTATATCTTTTTTTCTTTTTTTTTTTTTTTTCAAATATTTCAAATAATATATAACATGTATTATTATTATTTTTTATCATCGACAATACTTGGAAGGTTTAAAAGCGCACATAAGTGTTTTTTTTTTAATGCATGGAGAAACACCTACATATTATTATTATTATTTATCTACGTACAAGAGGGATAGTACGTATAATCATTGTAATAAAACTTGAGGTAGAATTCGATCCAAAAACAAAAAAAAAAAAGTATAACGCGCGTAAATTTCTAATTATTTTGCTAAAAGTGAGGGGAATTTTTCTTCTTCTTGTTGTTGTTGTTGTTTTTTTTTCTACTTTTTTTAACAATAATATCTCTTACTTATATTTTAATTAAAAATATATATATATATATATATATACATATATATATGTATATTATGTATACATATATATATAGCGTTGATATATTGCTATTGTATGATAATAATCATAATAGGAATATAATCATAATATAATAATAATTAATAATAATATTAAAAGTAATAATAATTAACAAACAATTGTAATTATTTGACAATATAATTAATATAAGAGCTGAATATACACAATAAAGTAAAGGATGACAATTATATACAGTACATACTTGCTTTAACCCTTCCCTTATTAACAACCCATATACGAGTCATCCATGCTAAACTCATATGGGGTGCAAAGGCCCCGTATATACGATCTACCGACCCATATAAGACTCGTAAGTCATGGGAAAGGGTTAATTGTACTATCGTTAAATAATCTAATCTCGGTTAATAATTATCATAAAAATAAACATAATCATATCTCGATAATTACAATACTTAATAATAATAACAATAATAATAATAATAGTATAGTAATCACAATCATCGTCACCATCGTCATCATCACCACCATCACCACTATCATCATCATCATCATCATCAACATCATCATCATTATCATCATCGTCGTTATCGTCATTATTTCCATGTGATAATTATAATCATAATCATTTTATAATTTAGTCATAAAATATTCTATTTTTATATTTTATTTTATTTTATTTTATTTAATATTTTTATTATTTTGTTTTGTTTTGTTTCATTTATTTAACGTATTTATCATGATAGCTATTTTATGCAGTATGGTATGTACTTTTTTTTAATAAGAAGGATGTGTGTTTTATTTATTTATTTATTTCTTTTTTTTTTTTTCTTTTTTAACCAGGATATGTCAGTGAAAACTATAATAGTAATATCAAGCGTCAACATTTTTCTCTTCTCTTCTTTTCTTTTCTTTTCTTTTCTTTTCTTTTCTTTTCTTCTCTACTTTTTTTTGACCACTTTCAGTGTGTCGGTATAATTTCATATTTCTTTTTTTTGTCTTTTATTAATTTTTTTTTTTTTTGTATATATTATTTTTTTATCCGTTCGTTTTTATTTACGGTTTTCTCAAAATCGCTATTACAAAAGTGCGTTACGTCGCATCCTTACATTTAAGGTACATAACTTTATTTCTTTTTTCTTTTTTTCTTTTTCATTTTCCTTTTCTTTTTTTTTTTTTATTATTATTATATACCTGCGTAACTTATCTACGGGTGTGTGGGTGGTTGTTGTTGTTATATTGTTCATTGTAATTATTTAAATTACTTATCTTGTTTTTCTTTTGTTGTTTTGTCATATTTATTATCGTTTGTTTCAATATTTTCATTAATTTTTATTTCTTTTTTTATTGTTGTTGTTGTTGATGTTTTAATATATTAAAGATATTTCATTCTTATATATATTATCTCAAAAACAATCATACATACGTCATACGTATTTTATATCATACATGCATACATACGTATATGTATTTGTATACTATATACACGCATAATATGTCTGTGTCCTATGTGTGTGTGTATATATATATATATGTGTTCTTATATTTTAAATTAATGAATTTTAACAAAAAGAATTAAAAGACAAACATTTTTTTTTTTTACTAATATAATTCATATCTTTCGTTTGTTCTTTTTTTTTTTTCTTTTCTTCGTAAAAAACAATTATTATATACAATTAAATAAATAAAATGTTAAAATACTCGATTATTATTTGGCTTCGTGTGTATGGTGGTCAAACATAATGTAATAAACACAATGATCGAAAATTATTTTCACACACATACACACATATATATATATATATATATATACATATCTTTAATGTATACATGTATTTACATATGCTGTTTTTTATTGTAATCTGTATATGTATGTATGTATGTATATAATTTTTGTAACTCCGGTGGTTGTTTTATTTTTTTGTTTTAAATCATGGTGGTATTTTATTTTTTTTGTCATCACAGGGCAAACGCAAATTTAATACTCAATATATTCAACGAATATGTGACGAATATGTTAAATATATTTTTTTTTTTCTTTTTCTTTTATTTAAGGGGTATCATATTTTGTTTGTTTGACTATTTTATTTAATTTTATTTGTTTGTTTGTTTGTTCGTTCATTCGTTAAATTCATCGACACGCGAGTTTTTATTTTTTTCGTTAAATCGAAGCTTTAGGCACTATTTATTTCTTTTTATTTTATTTTATTTGTTTGTTTGTTTCGCTCGTGAGTGTGTATTTCTTGTTTATTCCTTCTCTGTTTTTTTCTTTTCTTTTCTTTTCTTTTTCTCTTTTAGATTAGACCCCCATGAAAATTATTAACAATAAAGATAATTATTTTAGCTCACATTAAGTTAAATTCTACTAAGATTTTTGTAATACGTGTGCCGAGAAGAAGGGTGAAAAGAATTACTTTATTTTTAATTATTTGATCGTATTAGAAAAACGTAAATATTAAAATTAGAATTAGAATTTAAATATATATATAATAGGAAACGTGTTAGCAACGATGCGTTATAATTTAATATAGGATCCCATACAAATTTGAATTCCAAAAATCGTCTCATATATTATTAGAATAAAACGTTAAATTTTTTTCAATATTTCATATTTTTATGTGTTGCTAAATCTAAAATCTATAGGGTCCCTAGATATAGGGAGAAGAATCGAAATTTTATATTTTCAACTATTTCTTTTTTTACTACACAAAAAATGAGTTTATAGAATATTAATTAAAGGATCATTGATAAGGTTAGAGTACCCCAAAATAATTATTTCATTTTTTATCCCATAAAATAACGCATCGTTGCTGAAACGAACGAATTGAATGAAATAATCACCAAAGAATTATATAAATGAGTGTGTATGAATGAATGTATATGAATGAATGTGTATGAATGAACGAACGAACGAACAAATTAATGAATGAATGAATGAATGAATGAATGAATTTAATGTAAGACGGAGGAAGACGATTTTTTTTTACAGATATATATATATATATATATCATGTGTGTTAAATATACACGAAAATTACATAACTATTGCATGAGTGTATTTATCTTTTTCTTTTTCTTTTATTTTTTCTTTCTACTTCTTTTTTCTTATCCGTGTGCGAAGTGTGTGATCTTTGTAAAAATATAATTATTTGTTATCTTTTTTTTTTTCCCCTTTCTTTTTTTAATAGTTCGTATTCCAAAGGTGTTCTATATATTATTAGATTATTATACGTTGGGAAAATTTATATGCGAATATTTTATTTTTATTTTTGTTTTTCTTAACCCTTTCATTGCTAACCCGACCCCCGCCCTCCCCCCCATATGTAAAGAATCGTATATCACGTACGAGGAAAAATTTTCTATGCATGAAGTTTCAACGAAAGGGTTAATATCTACGATGATTATTATTATTCAACGTTTGTTCTTCTTTCTTTTTTTTTTTTTCTATTCGTTCGACTTTACCTCTCCCACTTTCTTCGTTTACACGATATTTATTTAATTATTTATTTAATTAATTAATTTTCATTTTCGAGATATACAAAATCCACTTCGTTACGTTTTTTAATTCGTGTCTGACAAATCATTTGATTTTTTTTTTT